CGCTTCTTCACTTGTATTTCGAAATACTCGAAGGCGGGTATTTCGAAGTCGCAAAGGAATGACGTCACAAGAAGGTGATTGGTCACTTGCAATGTTGAACCTGGAACAACATTAATTATGATGATGTGGGAACAATGCTGACACGAGGAAATCAGATCGTCCTGAGCCTTGTGCTTGCGCTGAGCAGAGGGGGGAGGAGCGGTAGTTAAACTCGCAGTAGCACAGGAACAGAGCGGGAGGAAAAGAGAGAGAAAGAGAGCCAGGGACAACAACAAGAGACGTATCTGCTTTGGAATTAGTACGTGTTTTGGAGTTTGTACGTGATTTGGGGTTTGTACGTGCTTTGTCTTTAGGAGCCACCGTAAATATACTTTTTTTATTCACTCCACATAAAATGTAATAAATAAATTATAAAATACAAAAAAACAACTATTTACATTTCAACTTTTAACTATTTAAATTTTCAGCTTTTTCCTTTTAAACAAATTTAAAGTGAAACAACACAAAACACTGCAAATCACAACGCAATAAAATATTAATTAAAATATGCAAAACAAAAAGAAGATACACATTCTCTGTAATATAGGCCTGGGATGATTTTTTGGGAGAGTGTTTTCCTGCTTGGAATTGCATACATAGGATTCACTGCATGAATAAACTTTCTGAATCCTTTATCATCTGCAACTGAAAATAATTGTGGATGATTACTATACCTTTCTAATTTGACGATGTTGTCTCTTGTTGTTGTCCTTGGCTCTCTTTCTCTTTCTGCTTTGTCTCTAGGGGCCACCGTGTATACTTACATATAAACATATATAAAGAAAACCACGTTTTTTTACATTACTAATTCCTTTTGTGCATAACAACCTGAAGAGCCAGTTGGGAGCCAGAATTTCAATCTGCTGTGTAAACACAAAGAGCAGGAGGGAGGAGCAATTCTGTTTCAGGTTTCCATGAAATCACGTGACCCAGACCATCAGTTCCCTCCCCTCCTCAGTTCCCTCCCAAAACTCTCCTATGTTCTTTCTCCCCCTTCTCCTTCACAGAACTTCCTGAAATGCACAACAGAGGTAAGATCGCTTCAGTTTGTGGTCAAACAATCTAGACTCAAACAACTGGCAACAGATTTAAATTATTAAAATTATTATTATTAATTATTTAATGATGGAAATAAAATAGAACTAATAACACAAAACTTTATCTTTTGAAAATGCTGAAAGTGAGAACATCTAAATCTATCCTTACTTTATTTTAAAATGGTTCAAAATTGGTTATATATATTTGTAGTAAGTGCCTGAGCACTAAAAGTGTGAACGGCCCAATGTATATCCTCCACCTTTAGAAATGTATTTACTCCTTTATTTCCCCTTAAATTGAGCCACATTTGTAGTGCATTTGTGGGTTGAGCAGTAGAGTTGACTTGGTTGCACCCATGACAGACTTACCAAATCTTCTCCACTGATACCAAATCACTTTTTCTGCTACTGAGTCTTGTTTTGAACTTCTGGTACTACAAATGCTGCTAATCAGGTGCCTGGTAGTCTTGCTGGCAGTTGCCATAGATGCCCTTCAATGTCAGGCCCAATTGCGTTGGCGTTTACAACATGTGCACTGGAACCTGAAAATGTGGAAGAATGCTATGTTCAGTTATGAGTCCAGAGTCTACCTTACAGCAGATGGATCATAGGGTCAGCGGCCTCCATCAGATCACACTTGTGATGCTGAAGATATTTGGGCTATTCTTTTTACTAACTGCTTGAATCCATAAACACTTAATATTCTCTTAGCCAGTTTCTTAGTGAAGCCAGTTTTTGTGCATAACAAATTAAGCTAAACATGTTTCCTAAAGTGCTGCAGGACAAGCAAGTGAGTCATTAAAATATTTTAATTAAAATCACTATATCCAAAAAGAAGGGTTAATGTATGAGAGAACTAACAATATTATAACTGGGAAAAGGGAAAAACCAAACAGAGTAAATTGTGAAAAATATAAGTTTTATTAAAAAGGAGTCAAGTCAAAGAGACAGTTACGCTGTTATTTCTGTCATAAGAGGCTGTGTGATAGACAGGATTTGGACCCCGATTTAGGACTTTAAAAGCACTAGTTAACTCCAAACCAGCTTTAATGGTGTGTCCCTAACACAATACAAAGTCCAATACAGAAGCTAAGCAGGAGCAGGGAAACAAAGCCTGGAAACTCAGAGCAGGGAGAGACAACTAAATGGGGAACAAGAAAAACATGTCTATCCACACACATATAAATACCCCACTCACTGACTGAGCTGCTCTTCACCAGCTTATATACTGCTGGGTGGCTGATTGCTGAATGCTGACTGCAATGCACTTGATGTGGCACAGCTAGTTTTTACAGAAAATGACAGGGTAAACTAGTTTCTGAGTAAATTGTCAACCAACAATTTATTTGTTAACAATTTTTCATTCTTCTTTTTGTTTTGTTTTTTTAAATCTAGGAACAAAGACCTGGAATAACAGAACTGTGTGAAGATTCATTTACCACCCCATCATAATGGCAGCAACGTAAGTAATTCCATTCCTTGTCTTTTACTTAGTCGGTTTTAAATTTAAACTAATAAGTATTTTTCCAATTTTAAAAATGTTGATATTGCAACAGTTATTGATTAAATGCTTTTGTCAAAGTTTTACTCCAGTCTGTATGTCGATCATACACATTTTTGTTATCGTTTTGGTCTTCTGCACTTGTGTTACATAACTTTCTGGCACTATTCCATAACTTTCCGGGTGCAATTCCCAGACCTTGATATCCATCATTTTTAATTGGGCCAAAGTGAGTCCAAAAGTCAGCAAAACAACAAATGCCAGTCCAGTTGAGAGTATAAACATTTAATCGTCCTGACAACTTTGTCTGGTTTGCTGCCAAAGGAAGGCTACTATGTTTGTTAAAGAAGAGTTTTTTACAACTGTGGGCAGTGAAGATGGGCAGGGTGCAGCCTCAGCAGTGCCAAGTTTAATTAACCCTATGTTTAGACTTGTCACCGTTGGCCATAACATGACGAAAGGTTACTTACTGGGCGCCTGCCCAGTTCAGAACAAGGTAACATTTATAAAAGCTGGGGAGAAGCCAGCAGCACCAATCCGAAACATCTCGCCTGGCCTGTTGGCAACGGCACACGATTGGGAGCTGAGAGTTGACTTGGCAAAGCTGTTAAAGTTCCCCGAAGCGGTAGCCCAGACAACTCAGAGGCCAGACATCGTTGTTACTTCAGTTGTCTCCAAGCAGGTAATTTTTCTGGAGCTTACTGTGCCTTGGGAAGACCGTATGGAGGAAGCTCATAAGAGAAAGAGGGCAATGTATTCCGAATTAGTGGAGGAGTGCCGGAGTAATGGCTGGCGGACAAGATGCCAACCCATTGAAGTGGGATTTCGAGGATTCGAGGTAGGGATGGGTATCGAAAACCGGTTCTTGTTGAGAACCGGTTCCCACTGTTTCAATTCCTTGGAATTGTTTGCCATTTTTGCAAACGATTCCCTTATCAATTCCAGTCGCCCCGAATGACGTCACCAAGTTGCGGAGCGTCATTTACCTGGCAGGAAACACAGCGCCTAAGCGGCTCAAACACTAAAAAGTTTGATTATACTTTACGAAAACGGATGACAACAGGGCAACTTGCAATACTTGCAAAGTAGATATTTCATTTAAGGAAACACTACAAACATGCAAAAGCATTTGCTCACAAAACACGTGATGACCTTAAATGAATGTCGTGTTTTTAATTCCGGTCCAGACTCGTGAATCTCAACGCAGCAGCAGCGGTAATGTTTGCACGTCCTCTCTCGTTAATGCGGCAGGTAAATAATCAACTAACGGTGCATATTATGTTAGCGCGATCTGCCTTATTACAAAACCTGCTATTACTGTGCATTTAGGTGACCATGATGAGAGAGACAGACAGAGTCTGGCTGGCACTCGCTGGCAGTTCTCGCTGCAGTCTACCGGTAGCGTCTCCTTTCAGGCCAGGATAGACGAATGTCACTGAGCAGTGACTAAGTTTGTGGTCAAAGGCTTGCACCCATTTGCCACAGCAAATGCCCCCGATTTTCGGTAAGTGAATGTGTTTAATTGTAGGCAGGGAGATTACTGGATATTCTTGTGTAATTGCTACAGAATAATTTATGTTATACTTTGTTATTGCTACAGAAGAATATTTATTTTATAATTTTACATTTACAAGTTTTTTTCCCCGGGGACCCTGTGACACCCCATTGAAGAGCCATAGGCTGGATCTCTTAAAATCTCACTGCTGGGTTTGTAAGGCCATGTTACTCCTAAATTTCTATCTTGTTCAAAGAGAAGATATAAAACAAAGTTCTAAGCTAATCGACCTTAGTGTTCTCCTTTAAAAAAAAAAAAAAGAATCGAATCGTTAAACAGAATCGAAACTGGAATCGGAATTGTGAAAATCTTATCAATACCCATCCCTATTCACGGGTCAGTCCCTTTGCAGGGCATACAAAATGCTAGGCATCGTAGGGGCTAACCAGCGAAGAGCCATCAAGTTGGTCACCAACGCAGCAGAAGCAGCGTCGAGGTGGCTGTGGATCAAAAGAGGAGAGGCATGACATGTTGGGTAGCGCTACCTGGACACAAGCTGGGGCTTGATCAACCCTGGCTGGGTCGCCTGGGAGAGGGGGTCTGATTGTTGAAAGACCCGAAACCCCCAATAACCCCAGGTTACATCACTGATGATGTGTCCAGGGGCTTTAGAGGGTGTATCATCAACTGATCCTAATTACTACATTTCCAACAGTATGGATCAACAGGTCCCTTTAGACTTCATTAATATAATTGTAGATAGTATTTGCCCTAAATATAATGGTCTTGTGGATACACTGGATCATCCTTTAAGAAAGGAGATAAGAAAACACTGTCCCTGTATTCATTGCAACAGACCATCCAACCATTCATGAAAATAATCCACTAATAAACAAAGTTTACAGTAGGCAGTGGAACTCACAGCTAAACTCTGTACATCACACTGCTGGAATAAATACTACCTGTTCAGTTGTTGCTGCATGAAGAATGCAGAATGCTATGTCAGCTCAAGGTTATGATCTATATTAACTGAAAAAGTGTGCTTAATATTGTGTGTGATAAGTGTTCATTAGTAATGTCCATTTTACTTGGGGCTTGAATCAGTGATGGATGCAGGAAATTCCACTGCTGTGACAGAAATCCAAACAGGGAGGAGGAAACAAATTTCACTGGCTCAAAGCAGGAAAATATAAGAAAATAAGGCGGATTTAATTTTATAGTCTAAGCACAGATTTACTAAGTGAGGTAAATTATTGTGATGGCACAATGGCAGCACGACCTACTAATTAACAACTAACGAATAATTTATATACAAACAGGCAGCCAGATCACCTCAGTAAAAACCAGCATTCCAGTGAGACAATATAAATTAGTGGCCCAAAGCATGAGGGAGAATGTTGCTAACCAAAACAATCCAGTGTGATCTCAGGTTTGACACAAGTTTTTTTCCTTCTGAAAACAGTGAGGCAATTCAGAAAAATGAACGGAGACTAAAGGACAAATTAATTTACTTTCGATATAATAAATAACTCTTCTGATAGAAATCACAGAGCACTGTGCAGTTCTGAGGATTAGGACTAAAGAGCTAAAGTATTAGACACTGAAATCTCTGTGGACCAGTTTATCTGTGCGATGTGCAGAAGAACACAAAACATTATTTACCATCAGATCACGTGATGTCTCTATTGCTATGTTACTGTAGCATATGCATGTATGTGTGCATTTATTTTAAATAAAACATTGCGACATTTAGGTGTTAATCTAAGGCAGTAACACTTATTAGTTATAGATTCAGCAAGGACAAGCTGCTTGCTGTGTGTGCACTGATGAGAAAAATAAGCTAATTTCAGTTTATATTTGCCCTGTTGCATTAAAAATAGTGTCACTGAGGACCAGTAAGGGGAGTTTGCCTCTAAAGACTTAGTGTGAGGATTGCGTGAAGAGTTTTAGGAATAAGCCGAGGTTCAGCGATTACAACTTTGAGCATCCATACAAAGTCCTGATTACACACTCTTATGAAAACATCTTCCCATCCAAAAAATAAACTCTTTGTCACAGTCTCACACTGACTGGGTGTAGAGTGAATAGAGGACCTAAATGCAGACCAAAAACAACGTGAATAATCAAAAACCAAGCCGTTTATTATGGCTGATAACAGGAATACAAAAACAAGGCAAAGTGAACAGGAGAAAAAAAACACTAAACTAAAATCTAAACTGGAAAAAGCTAAAGTGCCAAAGACATGAACATGATTCAGGGCAGGAACATGTGAGAAACTATGTAAGAAATCCATGAACATGAAACATGAGCAAGACCTGAGCTGAATCATGAAATACCTGAGTTTGACATTACATGGTGAAAGGAAAACAGATGGCTTGACAAAGACTGAATGAAAACACACAGACTAAATACACTGTTAAGGCTTAAATTTATCATATTAAATGCTTATATGCTGATTATATTGCTTTATAAGAAAGGCCCAACTCTGAGCACACTCTCTGCCAAAAGTCCTGACAGGAAACGACATGTTTTTGCAGAACATGCTTTTGCAAGCAGAAAGTGAAACTAAGCAGAGTGTTTGATCGAAACTTAAAGTGTATGTGACGTCGAGAGGTACATAAATAACCTGGCTTCCTGTTTTTCTGCTTGAGACTGGCTGATGTGAGCAGGCGTTTCTGTGTGTGCTCTGTCTCCATATCCCGGGATATGTAAGATTAAAGATCATTTTTAAAGTAAAAAGACCACTTTGAGCCTTGTGTTTTCTTGGCCCTGAAGAATCCAAAAGAACCGTTTTTAACAACACACAGGAGGTGATCAGGGGAAGTGGTAACACATGGGAAACAGCTGACACAAATAAACGTAACATGACACCTGACTCTTCAAAATAAAACAGAAAACACAGAGACGTAGGCATGACAACACAGGCTTGACAACATGAAACAAGCAGAATACATGACTACTAATGCAGAAGGCCTGGGTGAAACATAACCTACACTAAACTTGAGGAAATTAAAGAATAATCATAGAACTTAACATCATCTTCAAAATATAACAAAAAAAAGATCAAAACAAACTGAGAACGCAGCCCCTGACACTCTCCTAGTAGAAACTATCACAATCACAAAAGGAAGAAGATGGGATTTTTTTTTCTTCATGCTAGTCGCAAAAATACACGGTGGGCCATTTATATGGATACACCGTGATAAAATGGGAATGGTTGGTGATATTAAAGTCCTGTTTGTGG